AGAAGGAGAAGCTGAAGGGGCAGTGAGGGCAGAGAGACGGAAAGGCAAAGTAAAACGCTCACAACAAAGCCAAAGCAAATGGAGAAAAACAAACAAACCCAAAAAAACACAGAGGTAGGGGAAAAAAGTGACAAGGCAGATCATGTCTTAATTACATCTGTTCAAAGGCTTAGATGAAGCCATCCGAAAGCAAATCAGCATCACAGCAAAGACAGGCAGCAAACTGAATCTTCATGGATGTTACAGCCTTCTGCATCCTGCCCTTGGCAGTCTCCACAGCCTGCATGTCAAGCAGCTTCACCCCAGCGAGCAGGCTGGTTTCACAGGTTAGATCAGGCTGAAAGGCTTGCGGCAGGAGGTGCAGAGCACACACCATTCCTAGTGACCTGCAGTGGTAGCAGAAAGCCTGAGTCATTCCGAGGAATTAATTTTCAACTCAGCAAAGCTCATACTCAGCTTTGGGCAAGCAGGGGAGGCTCATAGGCTCTGGTAAGTGCTTACTTATTTAACCAGTCTTGCCCAAAGAACCTTGGTTTAACAATGGAGGTGATAAAAGTTAAAGGGTTGAGCTGATTCACTGCTTTTAAAGATTTTGGTTTTGTTTTTTCCTGTGTACTCACTGCTGTCTGGCCTGTGGTGACATGAGCACTGTGCAAGGTCTTTGCTGGATAGTTTGAAAAGAATCTGCTCCTAAGAGTAAATGGGCAATGCCACCTCCAGCTCAGTTTCTTGCCTCAGGTGCCTCCTAGCAGATCACCTCACTTATCCCTCCATTTCCCTGGTGTTCCAGATCTCTTGTCCCGTTGCCTGCACAAATTCCTCTCCTGAAGCAGTTATTATGCTATGGATTGTTTACTATTTCTCAGCCATTCTAACACACAGAGCACAGTCCTCTACTTCACCCTTAGTCTGCAGTTAATTTCACTGTAGTTTTCCCATCTCTTCCATTTCTGCTTTCTCTCTTTTCCAACATATTCCCTTGCATAGTTCCCACCAATTCTATTTCTTCACATCTTTCTATGTTGTGATAGATGTTATGCCTTCAGTTAACCCTTCCCATTCGCTCCAGACAAGTCATAATTTTACAGCTCTTCCTCTTCATGTCATCTCCATTGCCTGGTGTCTTTCTCCAGTGCCTACAATGTTCCTTGTTCTGTGAAGCTTCCCTTGCATCCCTTTCTCCTGCTCCTGTTGTGCTGTTTTGCGGAGGTGACAGATATTGGCCTATTGCTTTTCCCAGACTGCCCAATCTTTCTCACCTCTCCCATTTTAGACTGCAATTTCTTTGAGGCGGGGGCCATCTTTTAGTTACTTACCTTTACAGCCCTTCAGAGCAGATTTAGGAACACAACAATGCCAGTAACAGGCCCTCTACCATCCTCTGTAGTTCACAGTGATCCAAGCTGCAGTACCAAGTTCTTGCTTGGAAGTCTTATACAGCTCTATATAAAGAATATTTTGACTAGAATAAGTAATGACCTGATTCCTATGCGTACTGTTCACAGGGGAACACACAAAGCCTGTCCTATTATATTTCTACCTGATCTTATAGAAAGACTCCTGTCTAATCTTTGGTGAGTCTTATAGAAAACTTGCATCTCCGTGAGCCAAGGGAAAAATGAATTATTCATCCCCTTATCTGTTTCAGGATTGTTTTCTGAAAAACATCTATTTTAATATTAATGCGATTTTTAGGCACACTATACTGCAAACACAAGTGTATGGAAAAGTGTATGGAAAAGTTCCAAAGCATAACCCAGAGGATTCACTAGTGCAATATTCCAGCTCACATGGACCAAATTTCAAGTAAGAGGTGAGGGATGAAAAAAAAGATGATCTGGCATGTACAAAGAAAACAGGAGAGTTTTCTGAAAAACAGAGCCATTCACAGAGGAATCTTCCCATGCTGACAAAAGTAGCAATATATTGACACGTCAAGCTCATCAGGACCAATCAGAGGACAGAGGTATATACACAGAGTCCCCATATTCCCCAACAACATTGAATCAAGCACTTATAAACCTGCACCTGCTTACTGTTTCAGACTGGATCTGATTCTTCCCTCAGATGGCTCTATGAGGGTGGCTGTGCTGCAGTCCAGGGTTTCCTCTAGAGCTCCTGCAGGAATTTCCTCCAATTTGCAAGCCCCAGGTAGTGGGCAATGGTGCTGTCAACTGCCCCTGTGCAAAGGTCAAAGTCACAAGTTACTTTACAACACAAACGCATCAGCAAAGGACATGGTAGAAGACAACCAAAACCCATGAAGGACAGGGCTGATAATGAAATGATGTCAACTGCGTTAAAGAAAAGAGCACACGCTCCATACTATCGCTAATCCTTAGGGTCAGGAGCAGCAAATCTCTACTCATTACTCCCAACCATTAGCACTCTGTTCACATATCTCCTGTTTCACCTACCAGCAGGTATTTGAACTGGGAACATGCTGAAAATCCTCTATTAGCAGCAAACTGCTTCATCCAGTGTCACTAAACCACCACTATCCAGCAGTGCCACACATTGTACACAGCCCTCACCGCACAGCAGCGGGTACGAGCACTTTTGGAGGTTGCTCTTCCATTAAAAAGGATGAGGGACTAACACCCTTAAATGACAGGCAATCTGTTAGTCCAGCTCTGGTGCTGCTGCAGGAAACAGCTGGATGCACTTGCTGTAGTGCAGCTGGGCCTTGAGGCACAACCCGCACCCTGTGCTGTGCAGGGCAGGGGACAGCATCATCCCTGGGCACTGCTGCACAAAAGCCTCCAGCAGAGGAAACTGCAGGGGAAGCACAGCAATAAGGCCAGGGGAAGGACTGCAGAATTAAATATTCAACCTAAATCTTGTCTGCTGTTCTGCAAAAACTTGTCCTCTGGGGTGAGTGTAAGTATGGGTTCTGCTTTCTTCTCCTGGTGAAGGGCAGTATCCAGTTTCTTGCAGCTTACAATATCATATAAATATATGATAATCACATGATGTTTATTTTATAAATATTTTGTATTTGTAAATACTACTTTTTAATCAGAGTTTAGTCTTTCATTATGGTAGGCAGTAACACAACCCAGAGATGGGGAGAGGAAGTGCCAAAGCCAGAGACCCTCTCCCAGCAGCACAGAGCCAGTTTAGCAGGAGACAGGGACCTACTTTGAACGTCTGGGTCAAACAAATTTAAGCACGAAGATGTCGCAGGGGGATCTGGGTTCAGCATCAAGCTGAACACTGAGGCAGTAAAATAAAATTCCTAGGCAATGACTTGAAGAGTCTCCAAAGGAAAAGGAAGTTTCATGTTTAGCGTCATTAAATCCTTCACCCTGCAAGTTAGAGAGTCACTCAAAGCAGCTGTATTATACAAACACAATCTGACAAAGAGCCAGATAACATTTTCTGATTTTATTTGAAGTTGACACCTTGAGACAAGGCATAACAACTGAGAAGATCACACCAGTAAAGAGGTAACAGGGACCTCACCACCCCCACACATTAACTCCAATAGAGAATATTAAAAATAAACCAGTGCAAATCTACAGAGAATCTAAGGACAACGAAGCCTGAAAAGCTGGAAAAATTGAAGTCAAGTAGTGGGGGATGGAAAGGCAGTGAAAGATTTCAGCTCTGAAACAATAAAGAAAAGAAAAAAGAAGCCCCCAAAATGCATCTTGAAACATAGTTTAGAGGCTTTGAGATCAAAGAAAACAAATCCTTAATACTTTATGTATTATAAATAACTGCTTTCCAAATCCATCCTATTAAGCATGCAAAAAATATTTTATTTTCATGCAAAATATGCAACATTCAGTATTTCCAAAAATCACCAAAGATGATCAGTTATTTCAGCATCCCTACAGTTTTGATGATGAACTAAGCAGAGCAGTTGAGCCCCTGTAGAGAAGTCCTCCCTCAAACTCCCCAAATAAACTTCCCCTCATTTTTGAAGCTGTGAAATGTAAGCCCCAGGACCTAAGAAACATTATCTTCAATAAATTCAATCTCTTTAAGCAGTGGCCAAAGCCATAAGGAGAAGTAGCATAAGCAACATGATCACAGGTGCACTTGAGTCACTGAAACTCCCAAAGCATTTGAACAGTGCTTGGAATAAGCTCAGAACAGTTTTCAGACCATACATGAGATCAGAAACATCACAAATCTGTTGCATCCCCTTTTATTTGCCCCTTTAAAGCTCATCATCTTTCATCTGTATTACTGCGTATCTCAAAAAATAAAACCCACACTGCTTCAGTTTAGAATGACATAATTTATTCATATAACTCACAAGTAGTTGGACACTACTGAAAATTTAATCTCAATATGCAAGTGATTTACATAAACATATAATACTGAAATTGATTGTTTAGAAGGTAAAAAAAATACCATGGGTATGAAATGCCATGGTAGATGCTGTTCAATATACTACACAACCTTAGTGTCAGACACTTATACATTTATGTATTTTTTTTCCTCCTTTTAAAGTACTCTGGGAAATTCAGCTGTTTATTCTCTCTAAACCTTCCAATCAATTATTTCTCTGAGTTTTTAAGAGCTGAGCTGACAACCAAAGCAACATTTTTAATATTTGAGGGAAAAAAGAAAACTGCTCCCCTGAATTCACCAAGCACAACATGATCAAATCATGTTGCCTTCTAGTATGAGACAAATGCAAACCCCTGTCTATGCAAAAGAACGTGCAGGAATAGAGACTGTGCTTGGTGGTGGTGATAGCCTGGTAGAATTTTTGGCCCCTGCCAGTGTCCAGTTTTGAGTGTTTGCACTTCACTGCGCATATTAGCACTGCCAGATCATTTGGTGCATGCAGCAGATTGCAATTCTGCATGAAGTCTTCACACTGAAGCCTGTATCTCATGAGCCTCAAATTCTGCATTAAGCATATACGGCTGCATGGACAAAATTGGACCCTAATGTGTTGTTTGCCTGTATCAGATGCAGTTACACACATTATCTTCTAGATGATCTGCAAACATATACTTTGCTTGAAATGCCAGGAGTTATCTTAAAAACATATGAAGAAGTTAAAAAGCTTTCACAATACAAGATCCAGCTAATTATTCCACATATACAAAAACACAGCTAGAGAAATACAATTCAATTCTTCAATGCTGAATTATGAAGAAAGTCTAAAAAAATAGAAAAAACTCTGATACCTGGACATTAATTCAGAACATAACACTGCATAATGCTGCAATATGAGCACCCATTTATAATGAGAAATCCCCAAGAAGAGAAGCAGAGGGGAATCTAGTACATATGACAAAAATAGATGAATACTGCACCAAAAACATGCATACAATCGCCATGGTCATTCATTATGTCAGTGAAGGTCTAAACAGTGATCTAACACAAGAGTGAGGCAGTGTTTCCAAAGGGAAAACAAACAAACCAAACCAAAACAAACAAAAGTGAATAACTACATATTGATTAAGCTTTCTGATGCAGCAAAGTGAGGGCACAGAGCCATATCTGGGTTCTGGAGCTGTTTCAAGATTCTCTTGTGAAATTTCTCTCTGACACGATTGAACTCCATTATGTCCAGTGGGTCCTCTTCAATCCAGAATTTGTGGAATTCATGCATTAAGTAGCCTACAAAAGACAGAAATACGGTATGTAAAGATATTATATAAGAATTAAAAAGAAACTTGTAATTAAGGATTACAGAGTGCTGTTTCCCAAGCTCTGACACTTAATGAAGCTACAGAGGTCAGACCAAACACCTCTGGGACCTCCACTGCAACACTGCAGAACTACCTTAAAGTAAAATGAATGGTAAGAGTTCATTGCCATAGCTGTGGTATTACCGGCAGGCACCAAGCTACCAGCCAACTGCTGGTGTTCCATTTCAGGAAATGCTGGAAAAGGCTGATTTGACTCTGGACTATTTCTCAACAGCAGATTTTAGAGAAGCCTCTTATAGAAGGCTCATTCACTGGCAGACCTAAGAGGTAATAAATACACAAGCAGAACTTCTCCCAGCAAACACAAGAAATCACTAGGTGGGATGCTGATTTGGTTAAACAATGCATGCACTACAT